GACAGTGCTGAACAAATGGTGGTTTACAACTGGTCCTTGGAGTTCCAGACATCGCAGCACCCCTGCGATCATGTGATCACGATTTGGGTGCTTGCAACCCATTTGCACTTATGACCAGTTGCTAAGCGCCCTGCAATCACATGATTGCCATTTGCAACCTTCCCTGCTGGCTTCCCCAGAAAGTCAATGGGGAAGCTGGCAGGGAAGGTTTCAAGTCGCTGGGATAAGTCTCCCCCACTTGTGCACCTCCCTTGCACCCCCGCACACTCTCCCTGACCCTCGCCATGCCCCCCATGCACTCTCCCTGACGTGCGGCACATCCTCCCTGACCCGTACAGCATCTCTCACATGCCCTCCCTGACCTGTACCACGCCTTTTGCGCACTGCTGCACACCCTCCCCAACCCATGCCATGACTCCCGTGCATCCAATCTGCACTGCATCTCTCACTCACTCCCTTGTGCCCCTCCCCAACCCGCACTGACTTTGGTTGTGCAAAGCAGGCAGGGACTTGCCTTGCCTAACGATTGTGGGATTTAGTTAACAATGGCAATGACAAAGGGACTGCAGGGATTGCGGTCACTAAGCAATGCGATTGCACTTTATGACTGCATTGCTTAGTGACAGAAATTCCAGTTCCAATTGCTGTTGTAAGTCAAAGACTACCTGTATTATTTTTTGTTTGCAAGGCTAATTTATAAAAAGCTTGATAATTTTGTAAGGTTTTTTTACAAATTCCAAAATTTCATTTGAAGTCATAATCTTAGCCCACTTCTGCAGCAGCCACTAAACCTTTTTTTTATAGGCAAAATAATTTCTTCCTAGTATTTAAATATTCTCTGCAAACTAGATTCTGTATCCTCAAGTTATTTTGTTAGAGTAAAAGCAGCTGTTAGGCATACATTTGTGGGATAGCTTTGTTTTTGCATTGCCTAAAGGAAGTACCGGGGGTGAAGTATGCATTTTTTAGTGTTCCATAACTTGCTGACTTTTAATATAAGTCACAAAGCAATTAACCTGGCTGTGTAGTTTCTGTCAAGAACAGCTATTTCCTCAGTTAGCTAATATGATTGACAGAGGCTTGCTGAAGATTTACATTAAGAATAACTCATTCTTCAGAGCCATTTTTTCATTTTCTACTGGGAGTGATAAAAGTAAATCAAATATAGTGACTACATATGATTAAAATGCAGAAGTTATGATTTCTTATTTACTTTGTAAGTCTCTAAACAGGTTTACCCTTGCCTAAATAGTTCTCTTTGTAAAATATGAAGGTGGCCTAAATAAAATACTAATTTTTTTTTAGTGCATTTAAGCAAAAACTGTAAATTCAGAAAAAATGCTTAAGAGAATTTTGGAGAAATGATACATGTTTAATTATTTTGTCCTAATCTTTTAATTTAGTTACTAATTAAGCCACAATTTTCTAAATAAATACCATGCTTCTTAGATTGTGAGGGGAAAGAATGAAAGAGGGAACAGGAAAAGGATTCTGAATAACATTTGGACTGTGTCAGGGACATTTGTGGAGAGCTCAAAAAAGTCAAAATAGTAGCTTTTATGTGATATAAAAAGGGTGAGGCTTTGTTCACATGGTCATGGTTGCCACATTGACTTCTATTCTCACACCCAGACACTCCTGGATTGAGTTGAGTATCAGTCTGGATAGTTCTGTATTTCTTTCCCAAGGAGTCATTATACTGAATGATTGACAAAGACTGGATTATATAGAGCACTCTTATATCAAAGAATTGGGGGGTGGGGGTTGTTTTTTATTTAGCATTTGTAAAACACAAGTTAAAATCCATTTTTTTCCCACCAGAGTTTAGCTAAAATGAAAATATGGAAGAGATTATCTCTTCCTTTCACTGAGTGGAGGGTTTGATTGATTATGTGCCATCAAGTCAGTGTCAACTCTTAGAGACCACGTAGATCGATTTTCTCCATGATAATCTGTCTCTAAATCTGGTCTTTCAGGTTTTCCAACAGTGCACTGCTGCTGTAACTGAGTCCATACACCTTGTTGCTCGTCATCATCTTCTCTTTCCTTCCACCTTTCCCAGCATTAGAGCCTTCTCTAGAGAGCTAGGTCTTCACATAATATGTCCGAAGTAGGATAATGTTAGCATGGTCATTTGTGCCTTGAGTGAGAACTCTGGGTTGACAGTGGAGGGTATGATATACAAATTGTTGTTTATGCTGCTTGGCTTTTTCATTCTTGGTATGTCTGCCTGCCTACCAAACTGATTGTTTTTCCTGTATAATTGCTCTTGCCAGCATGAAATGTGTCAACAAATGGCTTTGCAGATCCATTAGTACAGGAAAACTATAGCCTTTTCTGGTTTGGTAGCCTTCAGATGTTGTGGATTACAACTATGGTTACTCCCAGCCAGCGTGTCTGTGTTTTGTGGATTTCATGAGAGTTGTTCAAGACAACTGCAGAGCACCAGTTGAAGAAAACTCTTATATTTTTATTATTTCATCCCTTCCCAAAAGTATGTGGCAATCCTTGATACTTCACTTCTGCCTCTCCTCCGTATGATCTAATCATTCCTTACTAACAGTAAGTTCCCTTGCCAATATTTATTGTGCTCAACTGTGTATCTGTAACAGAAGAAGAAAATGAGATACATGCCTCAAGGTTGCTTTAGAAATTGAGGTGTTTGAACAAAGAGGAGTGATAGAATGGGAGATAGAAGCTTTTTCTTTCCTCTGGAAATATAAGATGCTTGCAAGGTTCACTTTAGAACTAGATTTTTCATCCTTGAGCTAGTTCAGGTAAGCATAGGTTTCAACTTCCTTTTTAATATGAAACTCATTAGAGAAGATGTATCTTGGGGTCTATGGAATGTAAAACAACTGAAGCTGGAGATAAAACAGTGTAATAATAAAGTAGTATAATATCTAATTTTATAATATTTTTTTAAAAACAAAGAATGCTTTTTGTTAATACATATCTAGCAGATAGCAAACGGTTTTCTTTACAGTTGTGTTTGGCTTTGTTCTTGCCATTTAATCAGCTGATGCAGAGACTGCAGATACATAACATTATTCAAATGTTCAGCCAGAATGGAGTTTTAACAGTGTTAGTACCTTGGCTTTTAAAAAATTTCTGGGATATGGCACTTATCAATGAAAGAAGAATAAAAATAGCTGGGACCACTGTCACCCTATTTTTATTTTGCCTTATTTATAGAGTATTTTTTTATGATGAAATCCATAATAAGCAGGAAGGGTTTTCTGGGTGATTGAAAGTTTGTGGAGAAAGCAAACAGATTAGAAGAAGAGTCTTGGATATTTCCAAGATAATTATCTTGGATATTGGATTATCTTGGATATCTTGGATATTGGATAATTATCTTGGATATTTCCAAGAGTTTGCCGTAGGAACTTTTCCATTATCTTTGGCAAAATGTCATATCTTGGTAATATCTTAACGAGGTAGCTGAAAGGCATAGTAATTTTAGCTGATAATATGTCGCAAAGTAACATGTCAAATCTTATTTTGTTGTTTTGTCAGTTTTAAGTAGCAATCCTGTATTTCATGTCTTTTCTCCTCCCCATTTCCCCTCTTTTAAGCTGTTTAGATTTAATAAGAAAAAAATAATAATCTCCCCCTTTTTATTTCAGGAAAAAAATTTTTTTATGGCTAGAGAAAGATAGATCAGGTTCAGTCCTTTGGCCAGAGAAGGAGCTGATGTTCAAATATAGGTTTCCCTTTTTGCATTCTTTTTTAATTTTATATTTGTTATGTTGTGAGCTAATGAGAAGGAACTGACTTCTCATTTTGTCTCTGTACAGCATTTAGAAGATACTAAGTATTTTAGAACTATTTAGAATAGCAATGTACAAAATATAGACTGGGTTCGTACATCATGCTGGTTTATTTAGCTTTGGCTTAGTTTGTCCTGGGAGCCAGCCACTGTGGTTTGTAAACCATGTTTTATGGCTTAATGTAATGCATGAACCCAGCCACAATGAGCACACTGAGTTCCCTGCCATGAGATTTTGGTGACAGCCTGGTCAGCTTTAAATGCATAACCATGAAGGATAGGTTTCAAAACTTATTCCAGTATCTGTATGGACCTTCATATTCAAAGATAGTACAGCACTGAATATTAAGTGTTGTAATAAGTGTGAGTTGGTAGCAAACAGTAGGAGGTGGTTTCATCTTCATGCCCTACTTGGGAACGTCTTAGAAACAGGATTCTGGATTTCATGGACCTTTTGTCTGATCCAATAAGGCCACATATTACATTTCCTGGAGAAGCTCAAAGTGCTTCAAGATTGGCATTTCATTCTTATGAAGTTATACTTGAGAGAATGTTTTGCCTTAGGCAACAAAATAAGCTACATACTTGCATGCAGGTTTGAACATGGATTTTTTATATTTAAATCTATAGTTAGCCACTCCATCTCAAGTCTGAGAGTTTCAAAAGAAAGTTTGTATGTATTTGCTACAAGGGAGAAGAAAAGGACAACAGAAAATAATTCTAACACGTTTGCCTGAAATGCAAAGTGATTTTGCTTTTTGTTCCCAATAGTTCCTCTTGATAGCCCATTCTAAAGTATCTAAGGCTTCCCTCACATCACATTATAAAGAATAATACAGTGCTTATTATGCTTCAGGGTTTTGGCTACAGGTCATAATTTTGCAAGCATTGGCTGATGAACCAAATGTGCAGGACTCCTTAGTTTAAAACCTCTTACTAAGAAAATAGCAAGAAAAGGTCAGCAGCGTGAAAAGCCAAACATATAATCAGATCAGTTACATAGCTCATGCAGTATGAAATAGTGATTTGATGTTAATTGAAGCTGGGGTGGGGGAGAAGTAGGAGGAATCCTATTAGCCTGACTAGTTGTAACTTCTTCCAAGTTTTTTTCATTCTCAGGTGAACATTCTAAGATATCTGTGATAAAGCATGGAACAAAGTAGAAAATAATGTTATAAATGTATTGCAAGGATTAATAATCTGGTTTCCTTCAAATTTAATCCCACAGTCTTTTGTCATTCCCTACATTGGGAGATGGAAGTTCAGGTCTAAAGCAATGTGGAATGCTCCAGTTTGCCTACTTCTGCCATAATGTGCGTATTTCTATTTAATTTTTTAAAAATTGTTTTAGAGTTGAAGCAATACTGTATAGCAAAACAGCAGTAAGGTAATATACCTTGAAGCACAGGTTTTATTAAGATCCATTAACTGTGTAGAATCTAGGGATCCCCAGTGAATTGAACTGCAGGTTAATGAGGAGAATTCAAAATATAGTTAGCTCAGATTGTTAGGATTCCTGCTTGGGATCCAACCATGAGCCACAACATATTTATGGATTATTGTTAATATGGTTTTTCAGAAGAATAACTGAATCTAATTCTTGCTTTGTTGTTGTGATATATTTTTAAACAAATGGGCATATACCTAGTGGTAATGTTTTAGTTCCCACTTTTTACTTTTTACATGTAACTCTTTCACTCAGCTCACTTATTCAGAAGTAGACACACACACACCATTATTTTGTACAACACGTCTGTTTATGAACAAAGGGGCCCTGAAAGTAGGAATATCTATCTGTGGAAACTAGGTTTTGACTGCAGAGTAACATTTTGTTTAATACATTTTCTTTACCTGTATATCCAAGGTCTCATAGCCAGTTTACTGAAATTAAAATGTATAGTAGAAACATACAGGAACAGATGAAAAACTCAGTTAAAATTCATTACAAAGTGATTAAGTTATTTGAGGTATCAAATACTGTTATTATTCTTATTCCTGACAATGAAATTGGCCCCAGATAAGGGATAAGACATCTTCTGCCTAAAAGTTAGTACTTAGATACAACCCAATGAAGTATAGAAAGAGCTCACTTCACATCCAAGTCAAGCCAGTGTTATGGTGATTGATGTCTGTGCTTCAACCCACAGATGTAGAGGAGGCGAACAGTATCTTGTTGACACATCATCAAAAAAAGATGTCATACTCATTACAGGACAGCGGAATGTTAAAGCTGAAAGTAAAATAGCATCTGGAATGATGGGAAAACTTGGCCTGTTGCACAGACTAATAGAGTTCTGACAAGAACGTTCAATATTTATAGCAAATACCTTCTTTCAACAACCTAAAAGATGACCCCACACATAGACATCACTGGATAGAGAACACCAAAATCAAATTGCCTATATGTTCTGCAAGTAAATATGGAAGAGCTCTATTCCATTAGTAAAAAGGAGACCTAGCACTGACTGCAGTTCAGATCAGAAACATATTTACAACTTAAACACTAATAAAAGCACCAATACAAAATTTAAAATATCACCTGACGTTATATTTTAAAGTTTGTATTTGTGTTTTATTGGTCTGTAAATAAAATGAAATAACAACTTAAACTAAAGAAAACAAGATAATCAGACAAACAAGGTATATTTTCAGCAGTAGTCCATATGATTATGCAGTGGAGATAAATAATAGATTTAATGGATTAGATTTGATGGATAGGATGCCTAAGGAACTCTCGACTGAAATTTGCAACTTAAAGATGAAGCAAACAAAAATATCCCAAAATTTTTTTAAAAAAAGTGACAGGTCTGTTTGCTGATGTATTGAAAATAGATGAAGAAAGGCAGAAAGGAAAAGGCAACATGGAGTACGATTTGCCCAAGCAAATGCTGAGTCCCGGAGAAGAGTAAGAAGAGACAAGGAGAAGGAGTGATATCTCAATAAGCTGTATAAAGAATTAAAATTAAATGTGAAGGAAAAACTGTTTTTAATAGTTGACTTGTTGCTATTCAAAACTTGGTATGAATTAACATTTTAGTTTTTTAAGTATGCCTTCTGTAAAACGGTTCCTTTTATGTTTGTTTCTATTTGGCAGAGCCATGTAAGTAACAAAACAGCCAAATGTTTACTACTTAATGATTTGTATGCTTTTAATAGCTGGAAAACTGGAATATAAGCATCTCTTTAGTACTTACTGTAGTTTTCAAGATAAATCTTCCTAGTGTTAAGAGAAAATGTGGCATGCAAATGGCCATGAATAATTTGTGTTCCATATGGTTAGGAGATGCATAACATTACTATACTCTATATAAAGTATAGACAAATAGTAAAGTCCATCTGTTTAACTACAGTAAATGAAAGATAAACGATCATTATCATGCTGATTATCCAACTTGCTCAGAAAGCCTGCCAACAATTTATCTGACAGCTTCCTTCTGTCAGTAAAGACAGGGATACATTCAGAGAAATGCAAGAAGGAAGACTTGTGACTGATCTGTTCAGCCATGTTGTACTTTATGTGAAAAGTAGAAAAAGAAATGTGTGTGTGTTTTTTTTAGAAGTATGTAATCACACTAGGAAGCTAGTTGTCTAAATCAGTTGGTTTTTCCTGTGTGATAGAGCTGTAGATGTTTAAATGTTGCATTAAGCTAAGATCTACACCTTTTTGGGCTGTTGGGCATGTCTGATGTTTTGAAAATATGCTGTATGTGCTCAAAATGGCTGCTGGAAAAGCTTGCCCGTGCATAAAATGGCTGCTCTTGTGATGTAACATATATGACTGCACTATGATTTACAGTGATATATGAACATAGTGAGTAGCACATCTTAGAAAAATATTGTGCAGTAATCACAAATTTTTCAGCACTGTGTCCTTTTATTCTAAAAAATGCAATTCATGACACTACTTCGTAAAATATTTTAGATTTAGATGTCTGTAAATTTAGCATGTTAAGAATTTTTACATGTGAAAACTTATATTTTTGTGACACCTATGCAAGATTTTTTTTGTCCTTCAAATAACAGCTCTACTAACTGGATTCATTTTCTTCTTTTTAACAACTGCAGTCTGAACCTGGAGAATTTAGGAGTTATATTCTGTATATTCTGAACATGTAAGGTTTTACTCTGGCAAATGAAGGAATTTATTAAATTAAAAACTAATTACTTGGTAGATTTATATACATTGTAACTTTACATTTGTGTTTAACATAGAACTACTACTTTATTTTACAATTTAAGGTTGTATATTTTCTGTAAAAATCAGTTGCTAGTCTTACTAACATTTGTATTTATGCTGACCTGAAACTTGATGTATAACTTGTAATTTCAAAAAAAATTTTCTGATAAGTGATCCAGTTATGATTCCTGGGGTTAAGTTGCATATGCCAAACTTAAGTACTAGTGTGTGTTTTGGGGAGAGTGTTTAGTTAGCTTCATTTATTTTAGAGACATCAGTTAAGAAGCCTATCCTTTGAGTCATCAGTTAGATGAATAAACATGTGTTTTGCCTATTTTGTTCCACATGCATAGGTATTTGGCTCTTTATGCAGGCTACTACACCCACTAAGGCTAATTAGTGAATATTTCCTAAGGTGGTTCTATGCATACTTTAATTTTATTGCCATAATTTATTGTAACATCCACCCCAAAATGTCTGTTGGATGGAGAGTCACTTGGCCATAAAATCCAAGGAGTCATAAACTGTTCTATACAAGTATGAAATTGCAGTGTTTATTTTTTAAGTTTTTGAAATTGCATGAATTCTTCTGCTCTAGGATTTAAAGCTACAATATTATGTTTGAAGTCTATTGAAAATTACAGACCCTACTTTCGAGTTAATTTACTTCACGTTGGTGTGCAATGCTAGCATTATCTACTTGTATATATCTATGATTGGAACATGAATTGTTCTAAAACAAAAATCACAGTGGACACTAAAAAGACTTTTAAGTACCATTCTGTTTGTTAGTACAGTTGTTTTCCTCATCTGGGCTACTGTGCTTGGCTGCCTTGTATAAAAAAACAAACATTCTTGGCTAAGGCTGGAAGTAACTATAATAGCAAACAGGTTGCTGTCCCTAAAAATAGCAATGTCATGTGGCTATGGCCAGCAGAAAAAGAAAGTGACCCTAGGCTTTGTGCAATTGGCTTCGTCATGTGGAGGCAGAGTAACTTGCTGCAGTTGTCTTGTATTGCTAAACAGGGGAGAGCTAAAGAGGGGATGAGGGGCTGGTGCTTTGTGCAGCATCCTGCATGACATGACCTTGTGACGGTTTTCCCTGTAGCAAACATAAGGATTTCAGTAGAACTGCTCATTCCTTATTTTCCAATGCTAATAAGTTATCCCATATACTTTGTAGCAGAATCTTCTCTTTCCTGTGTGCTATGGTAGCCATCTGCTAATTTGTTTAGGGTTTCAAAATATATTAATTAACTTAGCTTCTCACTTGTATAAGGATTACCATACTGTATAGCTACATTATTTCAGTATGTATTCTCCCCTTTTGATATTAAAATAGTAGAAGTTAACAATAATAGATAGCTTGGTTTCCCTGGATTCAGAACTAGATAAAGATGGACAGTGTGATGAAGTAAAGAAGAAATTAATCTTAGGGATGAAAGCAATGGCAAAGTTACACAAGATATGAAGAATAAGGATAATAACAACAAAGATCAGAACTTAAAGAAATAGTCTAATAATGTATAGCCGTGAAAGCTGAACATTAACAGAGAGAAAGGAGAGGATTTCTTTGCACTGAATTTTTATAGATGCTTATTAAGTATAAAATAGACTGCAAGTAAAACCAACCAATCAGTTGTGGTCCAAATAAATGTTGGATCTTGCTTCCTTGACATGATATTCTTTAAGCAAAAACTTATATGCAGTATTTGTGACATTAGAGATTATGGATTAGAAGAAACAGCTATGCTTGGCATGGTTAAGGGAACTAGAAGGAATAGACAATGGATAAGGTTTGTTTATTTATTTGTATGGCTGCCCATCTCATCTAAGCAACTGTAATGGTATGTGGGAATGACCTTGGGAGACCGGGCAAAGAGATGCTGCTTAGGGAACTGTCTGATAAGAGGGAGCGTAGCCCACAGCTGCATAGTCGGAAGAGCAAGAGGCTCAGAAGAGACCCTCCCTAATTTCTTGGGGGGAAAGGAGATGGCAGGAGAATTGTACTTTTAGACTTACAAGATTGATGTCAGCCTTCCCAGGTAGACCAGACAGGAAACATGACCAGATAGGCTAATTCTACTTTATTGTAGGACTACATTAACAGAATCTTGCAAGTCTGAAAGTCTCATA